CTTGAATTGGGAGTAGGGGGGACTCTTTGAGGAGGCGTATGCATGTGTGTGCAAGTACATCCACACATATACACACATCCGTGGTTCGGGAAAGGCTCCTTGCCACCCATCCTGTCTCAGAATGTCAGAATGCCCTGCTTCCCTCCCTTTTGTGGACAAGTCAACTCTATAAAATATTTGAAGGGATTTATTCAGAACCCATCTGAGTGACCAAGGCCTGAGGCACAGTCTCAAGAGATCCTAAAAACATGTGCCCCAGGCAGTTGGGTTACAGCTTGATGTTATATGTTTTAGGGGGGACAGAAGTTACAGGCCGGCCAGGCGCTCATGCCTGTAATGCCAGTTCTTTGGGAGGCCGAGGCAGGCAGGTCACTTGAGGTCAGGAGTTCGAGACCAGCCTGGCCAACTTGGGGAAAATCCGTCTCTACTGGTAATACAACAGTTAGCTGGGCATGGTGGGGCATGCCTGTCGTCCCAGCTACTCAGGAGGCTGAGGCAGGAGAATTGCTTGAACCTGGGAGGCAGAGGTTGCAGTAAGCTGAGATCGAGCTCACGCCACTGCACTCCAGCCTGGGCAACAGAGTGAGACTTAGTCTTAAAAAAAAAAAAACAGAAGTTACAGGCCGACGTCCATCAGTGCATGTGTAAGGTATATGTTAGTTTGGTCTGGAAAGGTGGGACAGCTTGAAGTGAGGGCAAAGAGCGGCTTCCTGGTCATCGGTGGATTCAAGGATTTTTCTGACTGGCAATTGGTTGAAAGAGTTGTGTTATTATCTAAAGACCTGGAATCAGTAGAAAGGAGTGTCTGGGATAAGGGGTTATGGAGACCACGGTTCTTACTATGTAGATGAAGTTCCAGGAAATGGGCTTCAGAGAGAGAAGATGGTAAATGTCTGTTAGATCTATAAAGGTGCCAGACTCTTGGTTAATCCAGGAAGAGACCTGGAAAGGAAGGGAAATTCTGTACATAATGTAGATTTTCCTGACAAGAAACAGCTTTTCAGGCCCGTTTCAAAATATGTCAAAGGGGTAAAATTGATGTCTTTCAGGGCTTTCTATCTGTCATGTGATGCTATAGTGGATTGGAATTCGGGGATCTTATTGCTAGAGAGTGTGTTTTGTCACTCTTAAGATCTCTGTTTTCATGTTAATGTTGGTCAGTTGTGCCTGAATTCCAAAGGAAGGAGGATATAATGGGGTTTGTCAACCCCCTCCTTCCGGTCTTGACCTGAACTAGTTTGTAAGGTTTATTTTGGAATCCCCTTGGCCTACAGGAGATTCTTCTGGCCCCTGGGGCCCTCAGGGCCGCGTCCCCTATGACTTGGTTTGGGAAGGGGAAGTAGCAAAAGCTTCAAACTGAGCCCCATCTAGTGGGCACCCTGAGCAGCCACAGCCCTATTCTCTGCCTGGGCCTGTCCATCCCTGTCCTATCCCGTAGGATGCTGCAGACTGAGCCAGCCTGTGCAGGGTTTAACAAGGAGCCAAATGACAGCTGGGATCCGATCGGGGAAGCAGTAAGCTGAGAAGTGGGAAGATGGTTTACATGAGAAAGTGAGTCAGAGGAACCCCCTGACCAACAGGAGGATCCGAGGCTCCGAAGGCTTCTCCCCTTTGCTGGGGGCCAGGGCGGACTCTGGAATGTGCCAAGGAAGAGCAATAGCAGCGGAACGTCTTGTGCTTTCAGAGCACTTTCCAGCGTGTGTTTACTCCTTGTGCCTGGGGCTTGGGCAGGGCTGCTGTGCTGGGCAAGTGAGAAAGCAGAATCCCGAGGATGCTGAGGAGGAGGAACCTGCTCAGTGCTAAGCACCCAAGGTATATGATCTCACCTGCCCTTCCCAACATCCCTGTGAAGGAGGGCGTGTTATTAACGCCTTCTCACAGGGAAAGTGTGCGAGCGCAGAAGCTGCGCCATCCACCCACACAGTCACCTAAGGTTGGAGCCCAGGTCTGCTGGGCCAACAGCCCAGGCCCCCTTTCCTTGCAGTTCTTCCTGCGCAGGTGCCCTGTTTCCCTGGTGCTTCTGCTGAGTCTTGTCTGTAACCCTACAATTGCCAGTGCTACTATGCGCTGCCCGCATCCTGCCAGAGTTCCTTGTAGGGGCGTCTGCGCACGCTCCATCCTGAACTCCTCCAGGCAGGGTCATCTGCGGATTTCCATCCCATCACAGTTTCTTTTCTAAGAAAACATGCTCAGAGGCAAGCATGTTGCTGAGTGCTTTAAATGCATTATCTTATTCAAACTTTACAACAGCAGATATGATTTTTCTCGTTTTACAGACTAAGAAACTGAGGTTCTGAGAAGCAGAGTGACTTGTCCGGAGTCACCTCCAGTAGGTGCACATGCTGGGTTCTGACCCAGTGTCTCCTCTTGAATCTGTCCTCTTCTCTCCTTGCACACAGAGTTGGTCCCTTTGGTAGGTTTGGAGTTCTGAACCTTGCCTGCATCAGTAGCTCTCATAGCTCTTCCTCTGGCAGGAATGAAGATGTAGCAAGTAGCATCGTGAAGTGTGGCGTAGACACAGGGAGGGTTCCCAGCCACAGGGCTTGGCCACGGCCCACTCCCCTCTTTGTGGCATCCTACACTGAGTTGACACGGAACCTAGGTAGGTGGTTGCCCAGGCTATTACTGTGACTGGTCAAGGCCCATTGTGTCCAAAGGCGGCTGCCTGTGCTCCAGGCACCTTGAAGGACCTCAGAACCCCCAAAATATCTCCTAACCGGCTGCTGCCTAATATTCTGCTGAGTACTCTACAAATTTATGTTAACACTCTCTCCCGTGTTAATCACCCAGCCTCACAGTTAGTTATGCGTCGGACCCTCCCCGGCAAAACTTTCCATTGATGTTTCTCTAATGTAGAAACCAGGCTGACCTGTTTCTGCCATTATCCAGCAAGCTGCTCCCTGGCTTGGGGAAGGAAAGCTGGCTTGCTGCCCCCTGCACTTTTCCCTTACCCCACCCACCTTGCAGTGTGGCTTCCTCCACTTTCTCCTGGGGCCTTTCCTCCCGTGGAAACGCTTCAGAGCTCATCTCTGAGGCCCACACTGAGAATCCGCAAGGTGAAGGACGGACCTTCTCCACTCCTCAACCCTTTTGTGTCCCGCAGACCTGTTCAGCTGTGTATGGGGTGGAACTGTCTGAGTCACATCTGAGCAGCAAGCTTTGTCTAGGCGAGACCAGCAGCCAACTCAGCCATCTCCATCCTGCGTCTTGCCAGGGACTACCTGCAGAGATATCTTTACCTGGGGACAAATCCCGGTTCCTAGGCACCATTAGGACAAGAATTTCATTGTGCAAATTCCAGGTCAGGGGCTCAAGCCAAAGGGAATGGGGCTCAGGCCGGCACAGCAGTTCCTATCAGCCAGTATTGGCGCGCACCAGGGGGTGGAAGGAGCCCTGTGCTCTCAACTATCTCAGGACCTCAGCTGATTTGCATTTGGCCATTTGCTCCCATCGCCAAGGTCCCAAGCAGAGAGGGGGTAGCCGCAGCGTGCAAATAGCAGATTGTTAAGCCCGAGGTTCCTGCTGAGAAGAGAGGAGGTAAGTAAGGCTTGCAGTTGGCGTAAGACAGTGCTTCTCAGATTTTTATGTGGATGGTATTAAAATGTGGATTCCGATCCAGAAAGTGTGGGTGGGGCCGAGATTCTGCATTTCTAACAAGCTCCCAGGAGATACCGCGGTTGCCGGTCCTTGGATCAGGCTTTGAATTGCAAAGATTGTAGGGATTAGCCTTTCCCCAAAACTCACCTGAAGCTTAAAAATCCACTTATCCTAGGGGAACAGAGTGCCTCCCTTCACAATTAAGAAGTCAGATTTAAAGTTCAGATGCCTCATGGCAAGAAGGCAGTGACTCTTTGCTCTCTGGTCATCTCCAAGATTGTCCTGGGGAAAGACAAAAGCCAGGAGAGTGTGTCTGAATTTGAGGTAAGGTCTGCCAGATCGGAAGGAGACGTTTACAGAAGAGGAGGATAAGGGCTCAGATCTACTTCAGAAACAGTTACTGTTTGGTGAATATGTGCTGTGCCCTGGTCACTGGGCCGTGCAGTTTGCAGGGATCATTGCATCTATCAATACCATGACCCTGTGGGATACTATTGCTTTCCTCTTGTGCAGCAAGGAAGCCAGGGCTCAGAGAGGTGTGTTAACTTGCCCAGGGTTACACAGCTATGACAGTGCTGGCTTGGAACGTAGCCCTTTCTCCCTTAACCACTAGGCTTTACTATATTGCAGGAAGATGGCATTCACTTGGGAGAGAAGGGGATGTTTTATTCAGGACTATTTTGATTTCAAGTGGTGGAAAGGCCACTCAAACTGACTTAAAAGGAGTTTTTTTATTGACTTGTATGACAAAAGAGCTCACCTACCTGTCTGCTTGAAGACAGCAATCCCTTCAAGCAGAGCTGAGTACGGGGAGGGGGTTTCTGTTTTCCTCTGTGTTGGTGCCTTTCTCAGGTGGGCTCCCTTCCTGAGAGCCCACTGCAGGTGTAATCCTGTTCCCTCGGCAACCTAGTAACCAAGCTAGCAACAAGATGAGTTTTTCTCCCCATTGGGCCCAACACACCCTACATCTGTCTCTCATTGGCCCAAATTGGATCAAATGCTCATCCCAGAACCAATTGCTGTGGCTGTAGCTGGGGGGCAGAATGTCTGATTGTCCTGGGCCTGGGTTTTGAGCCCACCCAGGAGCTTGGAGGTGGGTGTATCCTTGCCCTGGCCATAAGGACTGGTAGGAGAAAAGAGTTGGTTCCCAGGGACAGTGGGGTGCTGCTGCCATCCAGAAATGTCTGGGTAGGACAGAAACAGATGCCCACCCCAGGGTAGACCTTTGGGGCTCTTCTGTGGCTAGACTGAAGCTCCTGAGGCAGCTGCAGTGAGCCTCGATGGGTTGAGTGGGAGAACTAAGACCTTCACCAGCCCCGAGGGGCTGAGGTTGGTGCGGGGTCCGGGGCTGAGGTGGCATTGAGGGAAGCTTGATGTGACCATCAGTCTCTCTCTGTTCCCAGGAAAGCTCAGACCATGGCCATGGGGCTCTTCCGCGTGTGTCTGGTGGTGGTGACGGCCATCATCAACCACCCGCTGCTGTTCCCGCGGGAGAACGCCACAGTGCCCGAGAATGAGGAGGAGATCATCCGCAAGATGCAGGCACACCAGGAGAAGCTGCAGCTGGAGCAGCTGCGCCTGGAGGAGGAAGTGGCGCGGCTGGCAGCTGAGAAGGAGGTGCTGAAACATGTGGCAGAGGAGGGCAGGCAGCAGAATGAGACACGCGCGGCCTGGGACCTCTGGAGCACCCTCTGCATGATCCTCTTCCTGATGATCGAGGTGTGGCGGCAGGACCACCAGGAGGGGCCCTCCCCTGAGTGCCTGGGCGGTGAGGAGGATGAGCTGCCTGGGCTGGGGGGCGCCCCCTTGCAGGGCCTCACCCTGCCCAACAAGGCCACGCTTGGCCACTTTTATGAGCACTGCATCCGGGGGGCCACAGCCGACGCTGCCCGTACCCGGGAGTTCCTGGAAGGCTTCGTGGATGACTTGCTGGAAGCCCTGAGGAGCCTCTGCAATCGTGACACCGACATGGAGGTGGAGGACTTCATTGGCGTGGACAGCATGTACGAGAACTGGCAGGTGGACAGGCCGCTTCTGTGCCACCTTTTTGTGCCCTTCACACCCCCCGAGCCCTACCGCTTCCACCCAGAGCTCTGGTGCTCCAGCCGTTCAGTGCCCCTGGATCGCCAGGGCTACGGCCAGATCAAGGTGGTCCGTGCCGACGGGGACACCCTGAGCTGCATCTGCGGCAAGACCAAGCTCGGGGAAGATATGCTGTGTCTCCTGCACGGCAGGAACAGCACGGTGCCCCCCTGCGGCGACATGGAGAACCTGCTGTGTGCCACGGATTCCATGTACCTGGACACGATGCAGGTCATGAAGTGGTTCCAGACGGCCCTCACCAGAGCCTGGCACGGCATTGCCCACAAGTACGAGTTTGACCTGGCCTTTGGCCAGCTGGACAGCCCGGGCTCCCTGAAGATCAGGTTCCGCTCAGGGAAGTTCATGCCCTTCAACCTGATTCCTGTGATCCAGTGTGATGACTCGGACCTGTACTTCATCTCCGACCTTCCCAGGGAGCCATCCGAGGGCACCCTGGCCTCCAGCACAGACTGGCTCCTGTCCTTTGCTGTCTACGAGCGCCGCTTCCTCAAGACAACACTGAAGGCGCTGCCCGAAGGCGCCTGCCACCTCAGCTGCCTGCAGATCGCCTCCTTCCTGCTCTCCAAGCAGAGCCGCCTGACCGGCCCCAGCGGGCTCAGCAGCTACCACCTGAAGACCGCCCTGCTGCACCTCCTGCTCCGCCGGCGGGCGGCCGACTGGAAGGCGGGGCAGCTGGACGCTCGACTGCATGAGTTGCTCTGCTTCCTGGAGAAGAGCTTGCTGGAGAAGAAGCTCCACCACTTTTTCATCGGCAACCGCAAGGTGCCCGACGCTATGGGCCTCCCGCAGGCAGTGCTCAAGGCGGAGCCCCTCAACCTCTTCCGACCCTTTGTCCTGCAGCGAAGTCTCTACCGTAAGACACTGGACTCCTTCTATGAGATGCTCAAGAATGCCCCTGCACTCATTAGTGAGTATTCCCTACATGTCCCCTTGGACCATGCCAGCCTGCCCCAAAAAGCCAACGTCCTGTAGAGCATGTGGGACTCTGTAAGCTAGGATGAGGGCATTCCTCACAGTCACACTCCTGGTGACATCTGCCAGCGCTGTCCTGGGGACAAGGCGGGCTTTCGTGGGAGCCGTGCTCAGCCTGCCAGGAAGCCAGGCCCTACAGTGCAGAGGAAACAGAATTTCAACAGGAAGCTGGTACCATTGGGATCTGTTGGTAAAGCTGTCATTTGGGTTTAGGGACTGATCCCCTGCAGTTTACTTCTGGATCATCATGAATGGCCAAGATGGCCGCAGAACATGCAGTGGACCCTGAGTTGGAAACAGTGCAGATGTTGGATTTGGTGTTAATTCTTTTTGCATCCCAGATCCAGTCTGTACTTGAGTATCAGCAGAGGATCCATGAGAAGGCTGACGGGGAACTGTGTTAAGACCCAGCACCGGTATTCCCAGCCCTTGGCCTGACCGTCTGCAGCCAGAGCACTAACAGGGACAGATGTGGGAATGTCCATCTTTACTACACAACCTGCATGACAGCGGTCCCACCATGGCTGCCACTTTTTTATATTATTTGGAGAAAAGACCTTGTGTAGATTCGGGTCCCGAGTGACTAACATCTCTGTCACATGGAAATGGGTACTTGGTGGCATAGAGAAACACGGCCACTTTTTCAGCTACACTGCTCTCTCAGGTGCACCCCCTTCTGCTGTCCCTTCCCCAACATACTGGGTCCTGAGCGTGGTGGGTGTCATTTGCCATGCTGGGTGTCAGCTCAGCGGCCCCACATCTCTCTTGATTCTCTCCAAAGGGGAAGACAGATGCTGAAGGTGGAAGCTCACCTGGAGAAGGAGACACACAGGGTGACTGGGGCAAAGGACAGCTGGAAAAGCAGCTCTGTCACTTCTTTATTGGCATCTGCAAGGCTCCTGAGGTCATGGCATTCCCAGAGGGTGTGTGCAGGGTCAAACCTCTCTATGTCTTCTGGCCCTGCGTCCTGCAGTGAAGTCTCTACTGTAAGACAGTGGACTCCTTCTGTGAGGTGCTCAAGAATGCTACTCGTGTGGTGGGTTCTGGCTTGCAGCCTGGCCCAGTTCACAGAAAGTTGCAGAGATCAGGAGCCAGGATGTCATAACCCTGGGTTGTCCTCAGGGTCCCAATCCTAGGGCAGGGTGTGTGGAAGCAAGAGCTACTGTGGAAACCCAGCTCCGGTCTGCAGCCTCTGAGCCCCTAGTTCCTCACTCCAGCGGGGCTCCCTCACTGCAAAGAACCCACCCCTCCTGTGTGGGCATGCCTGACCACACAGAGGACCCAGACCCAAAGAGCCGGGCAGAGTCTCTGTGGTTGGAGCTGGGCTTCATCTCCAGGTCTGTGGTTCAGGCGGATCAGGAAGCCTCTTCTCCACCTGTGGCTTCACTGGCCCTTTGAGATTTCCTATTTCACCATCACTTCAGTTACCCTTGCAGAGGGCCAGGGAGTTGAGAATGTACCTGTGCTCTCCCTCCAGGGTTTAAGCCGGCCATGCCTTCCAGAGAGCATAACCAACTTGACATGGTTTCCCCATAAACTGAAGGAAGACGATCCTTCCCCACTCCCCAGAAGTGCTCTCAACCAACCTCAGAAAGCTCGAGAAGAGGGACCCTTTGCCCACTAGGGTGAATTCCTGGTGGAGCAGCTCAGCTGTGATCAGGGAAAACCAAACCTATAGGAAGCCTTCCAGTGTGAGCTGGAGTTAGACTGAACACGCACTTGGGCCTGCCTCTCCCTAGACCCAGCTGCGGGGCACACCAGGAAAGGAACCAGCTCAAGTGTGTCCCTAACAGCAGCCCAGACTACCCCCAACCCCTCACAACCCGACCTTCCTCATTCCATCAGATGTATCTGCAGAATCGGGGCAAATTTCCTTATTTATTTATGGCCCATGCCTTTCCCCCTCTTCATCCTGATCCCGTTTTGCTTTGAAGAGACCCCAATAACCGGAAAACGGCCTCCAGAAGCCAAAACCATGCCTGGATCTCCCACAGCTTCTCCTTTGCTTCCAGGAGAAAGTTCACAGAAAAAATACCTTCTGGCTTCTTGTTTATACGGAGACAACAGACCTCGGTGGGGAAACGGGAATCTTTTCTGTACCAAAGCTGCTACTAAAGCAGAAAGCAGTGGGACTCTTGGTATTTCATGCTGCCTTATTTATATTAAAGGAAGAATTAAATCTTGCAAGGAGTCGAAGTGGTCACAGTGTTTGTTTTTAACTTTAGGAAATCTGTGAGGCTCCCGGGGCAGAGCTGGGGACAGGGGGGTGGATTTCCTATTGACAGAGCAGAAGCTTTCACTCCCTTTTTATTCTTAGACTTTCAGGAAACTTTAAAAAAAATAACAAAACAGAACCTTTCTAGCCTGTCTTTGAGGCAACTTGTGTGCTGCCTGCAGAGTTCCAGAAAGGGCTTTTGAAAGCTGGCCGTAGGGTGGATTCCAGCCTAAGACCTTATTTCGCAGAGCTGATGTGTGCTAAGAAATATAGGAGCTGCAAGTAACAGGAAGCTTTTGGTTTTTAAGGAAATTGTATTTTAAATGGAGGATTTTGAGTCCTCTTAGGGCCCTTTGGCCTTTCCACTAAGGATGACCCCGCCCTCTTTCTCCAGAGTCTCTTTTCCTTCCCAAGGATGCTTGACTCTCCCCAGCATCTGCTCACTTGCTTTGCACAATAACAAGGTTGAAATGAATAGGGCTGGCCCCAAGGCCAAGAGGTTGGTTAGGTTGGGGAAAGGCCTTACGTCCTCAGAAGCTCCAGCTCCTCTGCATGCCTTGCTGAAGCACGGCCCCCATTGAGAACCTGGGATGGTTCTCTGGTTCCTCAACAAGGGTGTCATCCGAATCACCTGGAGAACCTGGTCCATTACCCAGACCCCGCCTTGAACCTACATGGTACTCAGAAACCAGTCGAGTGGTTGGATTAGGCTTGATTTTTAAGGATTTCTCCCAAGTGACTGATGGCACCCCTAGTTGAGGAAGCCATCTCACTTTCTTTCCTAATGGAAAGTTAAAGAAAATCCAAGTGGACTACTTTCCCTACAGACCTATTGGAAGATAGATAGACCTGGGAAAAGCCAGTGAGCCTGCTGGGAATCTGCGGTCTAAGTGGCATGGTCTAAGCTACACCACAAGCTTCTCATGAGGGCACCCACATTCACACTAGCACCATCAGCATCAGAGAGAGGGTGGGACGCCCTAGATGGTGAGCACTTCTTAGCAGGTCATTAATTGTCCACAAGCATTTATCAGGAGCCTAATGTGCATAAGACATGGCAGAAGATAGGAAAATGAGTAGGACCAAGCCTGTTCCCTAGAAGAGAACAGCAGAAGGTGACCTTCCAAGTACTGACCTATTCCTCCGAGTGTCACCCCACACTACACCTATGGGTATCACCTGGGTGCAGCTTCCTGGGCCGTGTCGCAGACTTCAGTGGGATCCAAAAAGGAATCTGCACTTCACCAACTTCCCCATGTGATTTTGGATGTCCAAGAACCACTGGACACCTGGGGTGATTAGGGAAGGCCTCATGGTGCAGCGCTCCCTGATAGAGCCTCTGAAAAATAACCAGGACTATGGCCAGGAAAGGGATTCCGGCCAGAACCATGGAGTGAGGGTGGGAAGGCCTAATAGAGGCAGGTGAGACAGCACCTACTGTATGCCAGACCATTCCGCACACACATTTGTTAATGTGCACAACTCCATGTCAGTCCTAGGATACAGGTGCTGTTCTTATCCTCCCTACTTTCCAGATAAGGAAACAGGCACTGAAGGAGCAGGTGACTTGTCTGCGGTCAGCGTGGTAAGTAGCACAGCCCAGATTCCAACCCAGGCAGTCCTGGTGTTGGCATATACTGAGAAGTCTTGGCAGATGAGGTTGAAAAGATAAGAGCGGGGCTGAACATGGACAGCTTTGAATGCTAACACAAGGTAAATTTGGACTTCATACAACAAGCAGAGGTGAGCCATTGGTGGGTTTTGAGTAAGACAGTAACTTGATTCATCCCCAAACGACGGAGTCCATATCTTTGTGATCAGCGCCATCCTCGTCCGGTGCTGTGGGGTACGTGGCCAGCTTCCAGAGCAGGGTTGGTGGCAGCTGACGTGGTTAGTGAATGTCCAGAAAGTCCTAACTCACTCCGAGGCTGTGATTCAGAATATTCTCATGGTCCATCTCGTCTCCACGTCATGGGACAAAGCTGGAAGTCTGTTTGGTTTGGCCAGTGACCGAAAGCAGAGGGAGCCAAGAAGCCACAGAGTGAAGGGAAGGGCAATGTGTGCCTTCAGCTGGGTCCTCCCTCTCCACCCCATTCCGCCTTGCCCCACCCCTGCCCCTGGGAGGGGCATTTCTTAGAGTTAACTTTTCTCATTGCCATCCAAAAATAGCTTGCTTAACTAGTTTGTTATTTAAAACAATAAAATAAAAACAGTAATACAGTCATAACTTTAAAATTCAAGTACTAACTGGAAAGTTAAGTAACAGACTAAAGGTCCCATTTCTGACTTCTTAGTCTACTACCCAGAGATAACCAACACGAAGTTTTCTGTGTATGTGTCACGTGCGTGTGTGTAAGCATCTTTTTAGTCCTTTTTTGCATAAATGGCATCATACCAACTAACACTTCTTGGTTACCTTTTTTTGAACATTTGGCTCTACCTTATTCTTTAAAATAGCTGCTTACTGGCCAAACACAGTAGCTCACGCCTGTAATCCCAGCACTTTGGGAGGCCAAGGCAGGAAGATCGCTTGAGCTCAGGAGTTTGAGACAAGTCTGGGCAACATGGCAAACCTCGTCTCTACAAAAAAATACATAAATTAGCCAGGCACAGTGGTGTGCGCCTGTAGTCCCAGGTACTCGGGAGGCTGGGGCGGAAGGATTGCTTGAGCCTGGGATGCAGAGGCTGCAATGAGCCATGATCACTCCACTGCTCTCCAGCCCGGGTGAAAGAGTAAGACCCTGTCTTAAAATAGCTGCTTACTCTCTCATTGTCTGTATGTAGGTACCAAAACTTACCCAACTTTCCCTATTGAGGGAAGTTGTCTCCACTTTTTTTGCTATTATAAACAACACTCTAGTGAACGTCTCTGTGCACAAATCCTGTTCTGAAATGATCCTTCCTCTCCTGGTAATATGGATTCGCCACCAAGCATCTCATTATAAAAAGAACCATTGCCTGGGATTTATTCAATCATCTTGACTCAACAGTGAGGAAAAGGCGTTTGACCAAGTACTGAGCAACAGCATGTGTCTGCCTGGGTCTGGCTCTATGTGGGGAACAAAAGTGGAAGACAGGGGCTCTGTCCCCAAGGAACTGGGTCTAATAGGAAGACTACCAATGGCTGCAAAGTAAGTCAGAGATCAATGAAGTGCGGTAAGTAATTGAAAGTGAAATTGTGTGGCTCTGAGGCCTGCCTGAGAGGAATGTGAAACAGACCTGCTTTGAGTTTCAGCTGTAACGTCTTTAGCTCCCTTACCGACAGAAAAATGTGAAGAGCCTCCCCAAAGAAAATCAAATCTACATAATAGTGCTCTCAAATGCTTGTATTCACTCCATTCATCTGAGTCTGGTTTATTTCCTCCCGCACAATGTGGGGCCCTACTTTACCAGGGAAAATGGCATTTTCCACCCTTTGATGTTTCTCTACAGCCCACAAGGAAGCCAGAAAATAAAAGTGTCAACAACAAATTATCTCTCAGAAAGAGGGAACCACAGAAACCTCAGAGATGTTCAAAGACATTTCTTCTTGCTGGGAAAAGGCGGGTCTTAAAGGTGTGAAGTGAGAGCCGTAGCACAGGGGTGGGGTAGGGAGTTTGGAAGAGTTTTGTCCCATCTGTTTCTTTCAAACCCACAGGTCAGTGATATTTTAGGTTTCTCTTGGAGCAGCTTTATTTAAAGGAGAAATAGCAAAGACCCACGCCCTGTTTCTTCTCATTAGCTGCCCTTGCCTGTCTTCCCAACTGGCCAGAGATAACGCCCACAGCCCCCACAGCCTTACTGCCATGAAGGAGGCTTCCTTCCTGAAGAATGAACTGAGCTATGTTAGACTAAAGGTTTCCTGGGACGGTGGCTGGACCCCCAGGGACTGACGATGCCCTTGCATCTCTTCCAAAAGGCATGGCTAGTGCTGAATCAGCCCCCAGGGGTCTGGAAGCTGTAGGTCAGCCCCCGGTTCTCCTAGCCAAAGACAGTGAGTCAGCCCATACATACCCCATGTACTCCCACCCCAGGAGTCAGGACCAAGCAAGACTACAGCAGGTGCTGTACGTAGGGCCAGATTCAGAGCCAGGGAGAAGTCAGCGGTGTTCAGCCCTCCGGATATGCACAGCTTTGCCCACTGCAGTTTCTAAGAAGCCCTCTCCATAGGGACAAAATGCCACAAAGAGGAAACAACTCTGTGGAGAGGGCTTCTGGCCAGGCAGGGAAGCTGCACAAGCATCACGCATCCAGAGCAACGCAAGATGTCCCATTAGGCTGCAGGGTTGCTCAGCCTGAACGTTTAAATCCAAAGAGAAGCAAGAGCAGCCACCTGCCCTCTCTCCATGTAGCCTCTCGATATGGTGGGGACCTATGCAAGATCCTGCCCACGAGGCACCAGCCTTCATGACAAAGCTGGTGCTAAGGCCAAGGAGACTGAGAGCCTCATTATAAATAGCACAGGGGCTAACAGAATGAGCTCCGTGTTCAAATCTCCACTGTACCATGTCCTAGCTCAGCAAGTCTCACCATTTCTAAGAGCCTTGGGTGTGCCTCAGTTTCTTCAACTGTAAAGTAGGAATAATACTGCCTGCCCATTTCTTTTTTTTTTTTCTTTTTTTTTTTGAGATGGAGTTTCGCTCTTGTTACCCAGGCTGGAGTGCAATGGCCCGATCTCTCGGCTCACCGCAACCTCCGCCTCCTGGGTTCAGGCAATTCTCCTGCCTCAGCCTCCTGAGTAGCTGGGACTACAGGCACGCACCACCATGCCCAGCTAATGTTTTGTATTTTTAGTAGAGACGGGGTTTCACCATGTTGACCAGGATGGTCTCGATCTCTTGACCTCGTGATCCACCCGCCTTGGCCTCCCAAAGTGCTGGGATTACAGGCTTGAGCCACCGTGCCCGGCAATACTGCCCATTTCATAGAACCATTGAGAAGGCTAAGTGAAAGGGCCTGTGTGATGCACTTAAGCTTTGGGCCTGACAAACTCAACAA